ATACACCTATGATCGAAGACTAGTAACCTACGAATGTCCTCTACTCTTAAAGACTATGTCATGTGTAGAAATCAATGAAATAATATATTCAAAGCAGGTACATATGTTAAATGAGACTGATGGATGCATTGTAGTGTTAGCTATCAATAGAAAAAATTTCAACTATCGATAGCTCATTGCATAAGACTCAATGAATAACTGGAGTGTAAGGTACTGGGTTCGAGTTTTGAAGGTACGTCCAACTACAGACAACTTCGAAATAAGATGAGATTTACCTCCTGGATTCCACTGTTATTCATCTTTACAAATAATGTTTGCAATATAAATGTAATATCGAGGCAATCCGCACAGGATGTTGTTATGCTTGCCATCAGTTGATATGCGGGGACTATTATGAGTTCACCTTAATCGGTAAACGAGAGCGAAGACAATTAATCCATTGACACGATAGGCTACTCTAATCCGAGCATCCCAAGGCCCCGCTAAATAGACGAAGAAGTCTTGATATGGCTTAGAAAGTGTATGCTACAAGCACCTAGGAAATCGAGGTTGGCAAGCACACAAACCGAGTTTTTTTACACATTATAGAAACGTCGTTGGGAGAGCTACAAAAATAACGTACCAGTTGAGTTCTACTATGTCGGATGTGAGACAGTAACTAACAAAGACAAATGGGTGAGTTCGTGCAAAATCTCTAGATTGACCACAGTTAGACATTAATACCTTTAGATATCGGCCCAGTGGCCCAGAGGCTAGACGTTCACGCACCAAGCCGAAGGTCCTGGCTCTGAGTCCTGCTAGTAGCAGGAGTCATATGTGCGCACTGCTGATGAGTCCCATACCAGGATGAAGCTAAATTTTAGTTTCTAATTTAATAAAAAAACCTTTCCTTCAAATTTCATGGAGAATAAAACTTGTAGCCTCTAGATCTAATGATGAACAGTACTTAAAAATACAATAATCTACACTTTTCAATTTCAATCAGTTTGTAATTTGAAAGTAAGTAATGTACATTTCATGTGATACAAACAAACTATACCTCAAACTCAATTTTAGATTAAACCCAGTAATTTATTACTCAATTAGAGGTAGGTTAGTGGTCTTGGTTACAGGGCATACTTTATACTTTAAGTGTGAATACTGGTGACACCGCCTAGTTGCTTGAAAATAAATTTGATACGATACGGTTCGAATTTACAAGTGACTGACTGAGCACCAAACTCCTTATTCACCAAAAGATTTCTCTATAGTCAGACTCAAATAATATTGTTTCTAATTAAAAGTATGATTGAAATCAATAATAGATTATAAGTTTAGTTATTTGTACTTAAATCCAATACAGATAAAAACGTCATCTCAGTATTAATTTTACTACTATTCGACATTCTATTATACATCATCAATTGTAAAGTAGAAATTTTCATATAAGAACTGTGCTGTACAATTAAGATTGTATGTGACTTACTTGCCTAAGAGTTAAGCGTTCGTGGGATGGTGGACCCACATTTCCAAGGAGTCCCATACGATAACAAAACGGTGGTCTAGTTTACCATAGTTTTTAGTGGAGGATGCCTAACTAAGATTGATTACTCATCTCATAAGCATTTAGTATCATTCAATCGATCGCCGATATGTGCTATATGGTGTACACAAGCAGAAATTGTAGTCGTGTCAATAATAATAACAGTAACAACAATAATAGACTGCTCTAAATAGTATCATTCAGTTATCTGGAAAGGTTTACAGTTCAATGGTTTAGAAAAATGATAGACTAATTTCAAAACTAAAGTATTTTAAATAATGTTCATCCAACATCAGTCTATCAACTAGTGGTATTTGATGTCTAGTTGATCATATTTAAGTGAAGAAACCATTTTACCATTGTGATTTCAATTGTGAACATTGTAATACATATACAGATGCACAAGTACAGAGAAAAATCAGTTACGCTTCAATAAAAGCATATATATACATATATATGATGTAACTGTGATTGAAAGACAGAGAAATGTGAGCATTCAAACAAACGATTGAGTACTTAATTAACGGAATAAATTAAGAGATATAAACGCCGAAAAAAGAAAACAATTACATAATAATAAGGCATGAGTCGTTGTTAGACAACCATTAGGAACCTGGTAGCACTGGATGGGCGTTTCGTCCTGGTATGGAACTCGTCAGTAATAGTGCTCATCCACGATAATTGATTGATGATTTCAATGTGCAATAAACACTAATCTCAATAACTCTAATTGAAAAAATTGTACAATGTGCTCACTAGTGACAAGCTTCGTGAAGAAATTCTCAGAGTTCTAGTAAGAAGACGTGATCAGTGGAGTTCAACCCTCTCGAGTGTAGGCAGTAGCTATCAAAGACAAATGGGTGAGGTCGGGTAAAATCTCTAGATTGATCAGAGTTAGACAATAGCACCGTTAGATAACGGCTCAGTTATCCAGGGGTTAGTCGTTCACGCGCAACACCGGAGGTCCTGGTTCAAATCCTGCGAGATGTACGAGCCGTGGGTGTGCACTGTCACTGATGAGTCCCATATCGGAACGAGACGGCCATCCAGGTTTCAAATGGTAGTATCTAACATTATTCAATTCATGATTTTAAAAAGTAACTCAACAATCTCCACAACCCACTCATGCAAATTGACTATGAGTTGATTTTAAATCTATTTAAAATTTGTTAATCAGCATAATTAATGATATATTAATATTTAAAATATTATTTTTCAAATAAATATAAAAACAAAAAAATTCAATGAGTTAAAAAGTATCAAGTATTAAGTACCATAAGAGGATTATGAGAACTTTCACTCTTGAATAAAGAAAAACTCAGAATGTTTATGCATAAAAAATGTTTAGAGAATAATATTTTTTTCTATACAAATCTTTTGTATTATCGTGCAAGTAATAGTCTATAATTGGTGAATTGATCACTTTTTACTCGTTTACTAAAATACTGCTGATAGTTTGAATTGCCTATGCCTTTTAATGCGTATAAATTGAATGAAATTTGAACTTTTTTTAGTTGGTTGTGTAGAAAACAATGATTTCAATCTATAGTTGGGAATGTTGGATGAATTGAATCAGATTTGATCATAATGATGGCGATTTGTTTATTATTGATCTTAATAAACTTCAATTAGGCTATTCCTTCATTTATATCATTTCATTCTGTCGCTTTCTCAGTATTATTAATATTAGTAGTAGTAGTAGTTGTAGTAGTAGTAGTAGTAGTAGTAGTAGTAGTAGTGTGTGTGTGTGCTACTTATACGAACGATATAAGTAGTATAAGAAGGGACGTGCAAGAAGAACTCTCACGGTCACTAGAGGAAAACGGAAAGCAAATGGAGCAAAAGCAAGAAGGAAATAGAGTACCAACAGGAAATAAAGGAAGCAACAGCAGGAATAGAAAAAGGCTGAAGCGTTGGCAATCAGGACTCAAAGATGGTGTGCAAATAGTGTTCAATGTAATGTTTTCGTTTTTAATTGACTAAGAGTGTAAATTTGCTAAATACAATCTATCGAACCTGCCTCAGTCTTCTGTAGTAGTAGTAGTAGTAGTAGTAGTAGTAGTGCGAGTAGTAGTAGTAGTAGTAGTAGTGCGAGTAGTAGTAGTAGTAGTAGTAGTAGTGCGAGTAGTAGTAGTAGTGCGAGTAGTAGTAGTAGTGCGAGTAGTAGTAGTAGTAGTAGTAGTAGTAGTAGTGCGAGTAGTAGTAGTAGTAGTAGTAGTAGTGCGAGTAGTAGTAGTAGTAGTGCGAGTAGTAGTAGTAGTAGTAGTAGTAGTGCGAGTAGTAGTAGTAGTAGTAGTAGTAGCAGTAGTATGAGTTAAGTAGTAGTGCGAGTAGTAGTAGTAGTAGTAGTAGTAGTAGTTGTTGTTGTTGTTGTTGTTGTTGTTGTTGTTGTAGTTGTAGTACTAAATTGTTTCAACAAGTTTGTCATGCCTTTTATTGTGCTGATGCAGTATGGCAACTGTAGCTAACATCAAAGTATAGGAAGCTTTTCAACGATTATAAATGATTGACTGATTGTAAGATACATTTTTTGAAGGCACTGTTTGTGAAAATCCATCCATGTATACATTTGTAATTTGTTCTTATAGATCTCCTCAGTTGTACATTTTGATAATCTGTTCGATCCCATATTGATTTGTTCCTGTTTTGATTGCGTTGCTTGCTTTGACTGGAATTATGCATTTTGATTGTGAATTGAAACATCCTTTCACGATAGGAAACACTCTGTGTTATAAAGCAACCAAATATTATCTTTCGAAAGAATCTGATCTATCCAATAGGGATAGAATATCAGTTATTTGTTGCTGTTGATTTGAATAATTGAACAACTGTTGATGGGATAAGTGAGTGGTAATATTTGTTTAGGTAATGATGTAAATTTATATTTATGATAAATATTAGAACCGTCATTTACCCAAATCACTTGTTTCGGCTTCAACTGGGCAAGGCGTGTATCTAAACTATCTAAACAGTTATTTCTCAATCCAAACCTCAGTTTGTATCCTATATTGACTGACTGACTGACTGACTGACTGAAATATCCTAATTTGCATGACGTCATAAGTAATGCAAGCCGGACTGGACAGATCTCCGCTATGCTCTAAATCAACCGACACCCGTTCGTAGTGGAATAATTCAGTCAACAAACAAACAAACAAACAAACACGTACACACACACACACAAACATACAACCTAGAATACTTCTACCTCTACCACACTATAGACAACATGTTTACTCATTTTACATCACAAGATAATGAATAATCTATGAAATTCCACCCACGTAAACAAAAGGCATCTATAATCAAAAATTCCTTATTCATAAAAATCACGTGATTAGGAAAATAATTCATTGGTGCAGAACACTAATAATAATAATAATAATAATAATAATAATAATAATAATAATAATAATGACAATTCGAGAACTAGAATGACACAGTGGCAATGAAGATTAAGAATACACTAAACACTTACCATTATCTTCCATATGTAATATATCACCATTGAGCATTTTTTGTCTTTGTGTTGTTGAAATAATAATAATAATAATGATAATAATAATGAACGAGGCGTCCGAAAGTTAAATTTTAAGAAAAAAGAAATCAATGAATCTCAGCGTTAATGAATGCTGCTTGATTGATTAATGATTGGTGTTGAAGAGAATGAAAAAAAAAGAATTAAAAATTCAACAGCTTGTTTTTGATGTTGGTTGATAAATCTAATTTATAATGGGTTTTTTTAATATCAAGTATCTTTTGTTGAATTTTTATGAAATTGATCTGGTTAAAGGTAGCCTAAAAAGAAAAGAAAACAGACAAAAGTAGAAAAGAGAATTTAATACAAATGAAGATCAAAGTAGGATAAGAATTAATTTTTTTTTTAGAAAAAAATATCAACCGATGACGTATGATGATAAAAGGCAGCTAGCTGACTTTCAGCCTCTAAGCTTCAGGTTCGAATCCTCCCTCATCCACCGACCGAATAGTAGTGGTTGTAGTAAGTAGTATTGTAAGCCCTTAATACTTACAGCGCGTGAGTCACATTCAATTACTTGAAGAATGAGTTAATTGAGATTTAAAATGCTGACTGGATTATGTAATCTTGCATGACTGATATTGCCTACTACAAATACTATGAACTAACTAGTGTATATGAATGAGGTGTGAAAATCTTTTTTCTTAAATAGTCTGTTTAGCAGGTATAGATTTTCGAAGTGCGAAGATTAACGATACCATCCAGTTTTCTAAAATGTTGAAGAAGGTGGAATTGGATTCAGACTTGTCCGTTAGTTGAATGTTTTCATCAATGAACGATTGTTTCAGTGCATAACAATTTTTAGTTGTGAAGACTATCAACCCCGAGCATAGTCAATTTTGATCTGTTTAATTTTAGGAAAGTATGCAAAACCATATATAGACGCACACAAACACACACATTCACTCTCTGTCTACGTAATATACAAAGCAAACAAATATGATTTTCAAGTTGACAGATTGTACGGCTAGATAAATAGTTATTTATAATACACGAGGGATTATAATCTTTATTAATTGATCTCTGTGTAAGCATTCTGTATGGCAGGACAATAATGGTAGACTAACGTAGTTTGTCTACTCATACACACACACACACACCTACACCCACACAAGATATATGATTATACAAAACGAACCAACTATAGATGTCGTGTTATTCCAGACAGATAGCGATCTAATTACATACGTTCTAGATGTTGACCGTCGTATATAAAAGACAATAATTCATTTCATGAAAATGAAAGATTCAATGAAAAGTTGACCAAACTAAAAAAAAAGATAAGACTATGATTCGTGGATGAACTAATCAGATTCAACTTAACAAGTCATGGATTTTGACGCGAAATACATTCAAGCCAATGGCTAAACACTAATTCGGCACGATAGTTGATGTCAGCGCCTAACGAAAACTCCAAATCGAATTCTTTACTTTAGCATCTAATGGTCGATTACAATTGAATTTACTAACATTAATTTATGAATCCTTTTACTTTAGACCCTAGTAAGTAGTAGGCAATCTTTTATCAAGGTCACCTAAGTGTCGCTCAAGGTCGTCCATGTATTATAGTAGCACGAAATAAACTCTCAATAATTTGACTCAATCGTAGAAGTTGTAGCTTTAATACAAGTTTTTCTGCAACGCTTAAAGTGCATACAGTTTCGATATTTACGTAGTAGCAAGTAGTCAACATGAAGCTAGCTAGTATTTATCATAGTAATGCATACCTGTATTCTTAAGAGAACTAATACTTTTTGCTAAGAGGATTCAAAGCCCATGTTTGGAATATTCCCCCATTGTTGAAACGATTTATCACAGTCCACAGAATAAATAAATCAAAAGAGTTTGGACGCAGTATACATAAATCAAACTCCGCTTTGAGCTCCTCCTCGGCTACTGACGGTTCCAGACTAAGATAAAAGAGGAAGGTTGGTAATTGGGTTGACAACCCCATCCTGTAGAAACTACTAACTCGCTAATAAAACACCAACTAGAAATACACAAATCACAAATTTTGTGACAGTTAGATAACTAGTGTTATTGAAAAGACTCAGTCATTTATTAAAATCAGACTTATTAAGAATGATACTTTTGAAAAAAAAAAACTCCTTCCATTGTAGTCATTAATAACGTTGAGAATTGCGCAATAATCTTATTAAAATAATCAGAAAAAAAGTCTCATTCCAAGAAGAATACATAATGCACACACATACAGATACGCACATACACATACATACACACACACGCACTGTATTATCTATCATTTCACAATTTTCAACTATTGAAAATTTTATCATAAATAATCAACCAACTATGGGAATGACAAAAAAAAAGAAAAACGGAAAAAAGAGGAGAACGGTGAGTGTTTAGCCGCGACGGATGAAACAGATGTTCCATAATCGTAATAATATTAATAATAATAATAATAATTCATATATTATTCCTTCTAATGTAAGTTAATCAGTCTCTTCAACTCTTTAGCCACTCTCATTCTATACTTTAAAACAAGTGAAATATATTACATATATATATATGTACTTAGTGAGTGACAGACGGATTGAAATGATATATATTTATATATATATATATGGATAGATAGATAGATAGATAGATAGATAGATAGATAGATAGATAGATAGATAGATAGATAGATAGATAGATACACAATCAATCAATTAATCAGTCAATCAATCGGCAAAGCAACCAACACCTAACTAAACAAGTAGTAGCAAAATTCATAGTGTCAATATAAATTTCATAATGTGTCTGTCATTCAAATAAAAAATTTACATTTTAATAAGAGTTGAAGAGAAAATAAAATAAAAAAAAAGAAGAAAATAGTAACTTAGTAGAACACACAAAGTCGTATTGTGGAAAAGTGAAATTGTTTTTTTTAAAGAAATCTTATTGTGTAGATAGATAGATATATATTATATACTTTGTGTGTATTATGTTATTGCTTATGAGATGATGAAAGAAAATAAAACAGTTAATGACGATGATGTTGATGATTGATTGAACAAGTCAATCAATTAGTCAGTAATTAAAACAAAGTAGAACTTGGTAAATATTGTCCACCGTATTAAGAGGATAGTGTCATGATAAATAATGGAGTGGTAGTAGTAGTAGTAGTGTAGTGAACGAGAACACAGGTGGGGTAACCGAATTGTATTAAACGAAAATTACAGAGTTACTCAGTAAAATCGGAAAACCATATCGTAAATCGTTAATTTGCAAAATATCAGTTCATCATATCGAACTGGACTGTTCCTGTTGCAAAACATCAATCTATCGTCACTATTCATGTGTTTCATACAAATTCCATTGTGTTCTGACTCTTCCTTTCTTGATGTTGCCCCATCTTCTGCTGCCAGACATTACGTTGACACTCACGTCATATACTACTTATAAGTAGCTCGCACCACAGTAGTAGTAGTGGTGGGATTAATAGTAGTAGTTTGAGTAGTAGTAGTAGTAGTAGTAGTAGTAGTAGTAGTAGTAGTAGTAGTAGTAGTAGTAGTAGTAGTAGTAGTAGTAGTGTGAGTAGTAGTAGTAGTGAGAAGACTGAGGCAGGCGCGGAAGATTGTATTATGCTAATTTACTCTCTTAGTCAATTAAAAAATGAAAAGATTACATTGAACACTCTATTTGCACACCATCTTTGAGTCCTGACTTCCAACGCTCCAGCCTTCTTCCATTCCTGCTGTTGCTTCCTTTATTTCCTGTTGATACTCCATTTACTTCTTGATTTTGCTCCATTTGCTTTCCGTTTTCCTCTAGTGACCGTGAGAGTTCTTCTTTCACGTCCCTTCTTATACTACTTATATCGTTCGTATAAGTAGCACACACCACAGTAGTAGTAGTAGCAGAGGTGGTGATATTATCACTTGTACTAGTGAAGGACGATATGATTCCAGCTTCTTTTTTTTCTAATTACTGGCTTCTGTTATGGAAGAGGTGAATCATTGTAGACAACGATGATTTCAAGGACATACCATACTTCCAGCATGCCTGTATCACCAGTACAGTCAGTAATAGAATTTTATTCTTGAAACTTGAATTGTTGCTTTTAGTTTAAATATACTCCTACAAAGTCTCCTAACATAGTAAAACATAAAGAAACAAGTGCTTCAACCAATATATATATATATATATATATATATATATATATATATATATATACATATATATCGATTAAGTTATTATGACTCACTAGTTGGGTTATTACGGCTGTGTAGAAGCTACAGTTGGGGATGACTAAACGGGCACTAAAAAGGTTTAAGCAGGAGTTTGCAAATGTTCAGCTAGCACAGTCGTCATCAAGTACAAACAATGGAGGAAAAAAAGAATTGAAAAGTCTTCATGAGAAAAGAAAGCAACCCAAAGGTATGTCAAATACGAAAAACTTGTGAAATATATATATATATATATATATATATATATATATATATATATATATATATATATATAATTACAAGAACACAATATGTCGAGAATTGGAAGTAGACATGAAAAGAATGAACAACGACTGGGTAGAACTAGGAAGGAAAGCTCAGGATAGAGTAGGTTGAATAATGGTGATCGGTTGCCTATGTTCCATTAGGGATTACAGGCGTTAGTAATATATATATAACTGACAATAACAGTACATACCTTCTTAAAAATCTTATTAAGTGATAACTATTAAATTTACAATTGATTGATCGTTGGGTAATAATAATAACTAATATCATCGTTGAATACTTTTAAAAATGATTAAAAGATCTTATGTGCTATGTTGCGGAGATTAAGCGATTGAACAAAATTTACACGAGATTCTCTCTGACCTAGTTTTCGGTCTAATTGGCAATCACCAGTAGAGTATATTTATAATTTTAAAGGGACTAATACTTTTTATAAGATTCTAATTCTATTGATATTCGATTTCATAACTTGAGTAAGATCTTACCACTGCTTTATTATTATGACTGCGAATAA